CCGGGGTTTCACTGCCCAGCTTCTGAGATTTGAAGAGGCGAGACTTTGACAAACATGCAGCTGTGGAAAGACTCACCACCAATTGATATGAGGTCAATGTGTAGATTTTATATTTGTCATTAGGGCAAACTGGTCTGAAGAATTTGGCTGAAGAATGTTATCTATGGTGCAGGTTTTGGGTGGTGGATTAAATAAGTAATAGCTTTGTTGAAAATGAATGACTCATCTCTGCACAATTGGATATCTGTTACTGTCAACCTGGTTCTTTGATATAATACTCTAGTTACTACTGTATTACTGTAAGTTACTAAACTACAAAAATAACGTCTATACAATCAAGAACAACAAAACGTGTAAAATCAAGTTTAGTGGAATGCTTTCATGACCTAATTTCACCAAATATAATTTATTTTGTAATGAATGTAAACAATAAAATACATTAATGACCAGCAAACCTTGGGGAAACATCAGCCTACATGAGAGCTTTCATTCCTGGTCTTCCCCAGTTTAAGGGGGAGTTTCTGTGTGAATCTTGCCAGGCCTAGCCATCCCTGAACTCCAGTCAATTATTATTATTTCCCTACATTTCCCCTACGGGCGGCACGGTGGGTGAGTGGATAGTACTCTCGCCTCTCAGCAAGAAGGTCCTTCTGAGTGGAGTTTGCATGTTCTCCCCGTGTATGCGTAGATTTCCTCCGGGTACTCCCGTTTCCCCTACCACTAAAAACATGTGCAATAGCTCAGGGTGAATGAGTGTGTGTTTGTGTGTTTGTGAGTGCGAATGTGGGACAACGGATGGAAATTTGCCCATGGCTACAATCCGGAGTGATGTGTTCATTAACATGTACTGTCCCAACCCAATAAACAATAAACAAATATCTACGAAATGAAATTAGTACAATGGTTTGGTTAGACCAGGCTAGTGTGAATCCAACATTGAGCTGTTTTTTGTCACAGTGGCGCATTACAGTACCCTTTGTACCTCTCCTGTTGCTACCTACACACATATGCACACTCTCTCTCACACGCACACGCACACGCACACGCACACGCACACGCACACTCCTGTATCACCCGGCTGCACCTCTCACTCTGGCATTACCACACCTTTATCTCATCATTCGCAGCTCGCCTCAGCCGGCTTTCCCTGGCGTTCCTTTGGGCTACTTTACTAATAACCTATTCCTTATCAGTCACACTGCACCTCTGCCTGTGATCAAAGAGCCAATTAATGCAGCGGGGAAAGGTGAAGCATTCAAATAATGGAGACAGCTGTTTTTCTCTGTTTGAGGAAAATCCATTTTGTATTGTTATCGGGCCTGAGCAGCACCCCCTCCAACCCGCCTAATTCAAGTCCGTCTGCGTCTGCCCACTGTGTGATAAGCAGGGGACAGGGCCGAGAGAAAAGGGACCACGGTCACAATGAACTCAATGCGCAAGAATGTGGCAGGAATATCTCAGCAGTCCGACTCATCCTCAGGCCTTATCCGGTCCAAAGCGGAGATAAAGCTGGCGGTGAAAGAAAGAGCCCCCCCCTCCAGCTAGTGTCCTCCTGCTGCGTGACTTCACTGTCCCTCATTCTCCAAGGAGCCATGGCTGATCCTGGAGCTGTGGGCCTATACGGACTCTATCAAACAGAACTGGGGTTAGAGAGTAGGTTAATTGTACTGGTGTCTGTAGTTCCATTCCAGCAAGGCCTGTAGCAATAGTGCTTAACTTTCTTTAGAGTGCCAAGTCTGTCAGAATCCATTACAATTAGAGTTTGAGATGTGTTACTGAAGTTATACAGCGTGGCATTACTTTCCCTTCACTGAGTAATAAAAGACTTTGAGGAGAAACAGTAAATTAAATGGCTCTAACTCAGCATATGATCCTTCTTTTTATAAAACCACACACCCATTTCCACCCACTTCTTAAAAAATATCTGAGGTGGAAAAACAAGAGATAGGCTTGAATGTATGTATTAACATATTTATTACACTGTAAAGAGAACAACAATACCAGAATTATACTGCAAAATTTCACAGACTGACAGACCATAGTTTACAGCCCAAAAAGAAACAAACAAAACAAGAGAAATCAAGTCAACAGGAAACCACAGTTCTTACATAGTAGACCGAAAGCTCTCAATGACACTGACACAAGGCAATGACGGACCGCCTGGTGTCAGCCTACCACTCACCTGTGGATCCACGTCTCAATATATTGCACAACGACTTCAAATTATGTGAGCTTTTCACAATAAAGTTTCTCAACAGAATGCAAAACCCCTTCCACCCCGAATGCTTCGGCCTTTTGAAGTTCACCTGCAGCCCCGGACTTTTCCAAACTGAAATCAAACAATCCCTGTTGTGAAAAAGCATGCCTCAAATACCTCTGGTTTGTACAAGCGTCACTGTCTCTCTTTTCAGTTCACAACAGAGAGGAGAGAGGAAAGGGGACCAGGAGAAAAAACTACATTTGTGATCTGTACTATGATGGCAGCATGAATTAACAAAAACCTCTTAAATTTCGCACAATTTTAAAATCTGTTATAACAACATCATGGACTTCTATAAATTCCATAGGTATTAACATAACAAAAGTGAATCCTTTGATTTGTATTCATTTACGCTCCATATTCTTGAGGTCTGCAAGTATGATATGGTTTTGCAGCTGTATAAGCTTAACACTTTGGATTGATTTCCTGTTCTCTTGTGCCCATTTGGTTTTGACTCAACCAGGATCAGTGCTTCCACTGATGCTCTATCGGCTGTAGAGGTAGTGAGCTGTTTGCCACCGAGGAATTTGTAGCAAAACACACAAAGAGGAGGGAAGAAATGAAAACTGTAGAGTTTCATAAGTTACTGACAATGTACATTTGAGTGTTTCTCTATTCGCTCAGTTGTGCCCTGAACGTGATGAGCACACATCTCAAAGTTGACCTCACTGTAACCACAGCTTGGCTGTTTGTTCACAGCTTCTACGTGGTGTCACACACCTTTTGAATTTTGGTTTGTTCCCTCAGTCAAATGTAGATGTACATTAGAGTAGAGAGTGGAGGGAGTTGTAGAAAGTTTTCCAGAGGAAAATAACTATCAGGACCTTTCGGGCCTCCAGGTTTGTGAGGTCAGAATAATGGCCAGTGTAGCACCACGGTGTTTGGCTGAGTGCTCTGTGCTGCTTCCAGAGGTTTGCTCCAACTGTTCAATGTTTACAAGATAAACCTTTTCACCCTACGGGAAAATGACACACTCTGACATAAATAAATATACAGTAAATGCAGTTGGCATTCACGTGTGTCCCATAGAATACAAACAGAACTGCTTAAAGCTGCAATGAGCACAGATCTGCACGTGCGGATGAGAAAACACGTCTACAGGTCCCTTTGGTTAATATTGCTCTGGGACTCTGCTGTAGAAGCACTTTCCCATCACACTGTGTCAGCTGAGTGCCACTCTCTACAGAGAGCGTCGAAAGGAAATGCCATTAACATTGCTAATAAATAAGCTTGTTTGAGTGAACAAACCTCTTTTCTGGTTGAAATCTGGATTTTGGTCCTTGGTGTCAGTCTTTGGCTGTTCAGGTGTTTCTTGTTTGTGAATACTGTGTGTACCTGGTGCTTTGCAGTGTTAAAGCTGATAATTGGCGTCTACACCTCCTGATTTTTTTCCCCTTTTGTTATTTTCATCTTTTTTCTTATCATTTTTTATTTTCTCTAAAAAATAACACACATTTATCAAATGATTGGTAATGTGCATGCACTGTTAGAAATTAAAAGGACACCATAATGTACAGAAATTAAGATGGATAAGTGTTGGGCCATGTACATTCTCCATCTTCTTGACCCAGAACAAGTTATGGCTTAATACAACACAACTGAAAAGGAGCATGCTGATGCCTTTGTGACAGTGCAAATACATGAGATGGCCCTAACACAAACAATCAGCATTCCCCGCAACATGCTATTTCTCAGAATAGATCACTTAGCAGCTCTGAGACAAAGCTCTCCAAAAGTCTGATGGAAAGGCTATGATAATTCCAATACAAGTTGCATAAAAAAATTGCACAAGTCAAAGTAAGCATTGTGAGAAAAGAATAATAAAAGTATTATGCATTGTCACAACTGTCCAACATACAGGCTACAATAAATAACCATTGGTGACACCACAAGACATAAGTCTGTAACACCGACAGAAAGGCGAGTTAGATGAGAACCAGAGCAGCTGTGTCTGTGCTCTGATGTGATCGTCCTGTGAGTTTGGTCCAGTCCCAGCGGCCGGTGTCTCTGTCAAGTCCAAGACGCTCAGACGTGGGACAATGACTTCACTTCCTGTTTCCTTCTGAGTTTGCTGATTCCTTCAGAGGTGCACTGGGCAGAGGTTTGTATTGTATCCAAGAATCTTTCCTTTGACATCATTCGGGAAAAGCATTTCCCAGCCCACTGACCTGGATATTATAACAAATGAGAAGGAAATAACAGCTGGCTCAGGCCGCAATCTGCTGCACATCTGCCTCTCCTTGACAGGTTCTGGACCACAGAGCCACCCCTGCATTGGTCCAGGCACCACTCCTTTAGGTACACTCCTTTTGTGAAAGAGGATGTTGGTATACAGCTAAGCAGTTATAGTCTTGAGGTTGGCTCTTCCCATGTCCAGCAGGTAAAATTAAGTCTTAGAAATAGCAAATAGAAATTGCTTAAAACTGGGGTCGATCCAATATACATACATGTCAGCTGTCTGTGTTAAACTCTTTCTATATACAGGTGAGAGAAGAATAAACTACATGACATTAAAGTTAACAAGTACAACAACAGACAACAAGAAGAGCAGAACAATAAAGAACAACAATAATTAATTTATAACAAAAGAATATCTTTCTGTTTTGAGAAATAATGGCAAGTCAATATGACCTGAAAATAGACACCCTCCTTCTGTCGCCTCAATAACTGCATCATTAGCTTTCTTGCATGTGGACCAGGGGCTGGTGGTGTCGCCCCAGACTTCAGTACTGTGAGCCTGTTAGCGCGCTGTGGTGTCAAGGGCCGAGGAGGATGGGGTGCTGGGGGTGGAAGAGCGTGGGGTGGGGACTGGGGGTGTAGCAGCCGGGCTTCCTGTTCCACTGCTGGGGGTGCAGGCGGAGGAGCTGATGGGAGCAGGGGTGTCAGAGCCTGGGACCGCAGGCTGCTGCTGGTTCTGCTGGTTCTGCTGGTTCTGCTGGTTCTGCTGCTGCTGCTGGAGGGTCTGTCCGCACACGTGGTGATGCTTCTCCCAGTCTTTGTGTTGACAGAATGAGCCGCAGTACCGCGCCGTGTTGCAGCCACTGCACGTCTCACTGGCTTTGCGCCCGCAGTTCCAGCAACTCTGAAAGAAAAAATATCTGGTCTGAAAACCTGTGCAAACACTCTACAGCACAAGTAAAAGTGTCTAACTTTTTAACTAAACCTACAAAGTCTGCCTCTGAGGCTTTCCTCCTGGGTGCATCCCTTTCTAAACATGTCGGATGCACACGCTATAACTCCTTCACACTTGACTGAGTAAACGTCAAGGTCTTCCTCGGCAAAGATAATCAAGTGAAATGCTTCTGCTTTATCTCCTCATGCCTGAATAGACATCACTTTGCCAAACATGTAAACTACTCTGTCGGAAGAACAAAGAAGATGTTGGGCATTGATGCTTGATTGAGCTACTTTACACTTTATTTGCTCTATTAAAGCTCAATGTTTAGTCTCTGAAATGGAACGTATGCACATCCAAATGCATTAGAAAGAGGACAGATGTGAAAGGAATTTAGCCTCTTTTCAATAAGCTCTTAGAGGCTGTTGCAAAGCTGTATGTCCAGTTTAAACTTAGACCCTGCCTCACGAAAGTGCAATAATTTCTCAGTCTGAGAAATCTCTATGACATGCTTCATAGAGAACATAGACTGGAACATGAATATCATGTGGGGATGGCACAAACTTCTATGTTGTTGCTTTAATGGTATTTCCAATGTGTCAGTAATAATAATTATAATGCATACTACTTCATAATATTTTATATGACACCCAAAGATGCTTCACATTCATTCTTTCCATACATAAAAATAGGTTGGATTCTATTTCTGTCAGTCTGACCGTCTCCATTCACTTTTCTTCGGGCTAAAAGGACATAGACATAGCACAATTCTTTACTATTAGAACTTTATAATTTTTTCTTTAAAAAAAAAAAGTCCTTCCATCCATCCATTTTCTTCCGCTTCATTCATTGCCGGGTCACATTAATTAGAATGTATAGACTGTAAATGATGTATATTAGCACATATCCCCCCAAAAGCATAATGTAACAGTACTCCAACTTGGTCCTCAAAGGGCTGTGTGGCTGCAGGTTTTCATACCAACCTTAGACTGTACAAAACAAATGCACATATGAAATTGTCTCCAGCTAGCTTATGTTCAAACTGACTTCTTCCGCATTTGGCAAACACTATGGACTCTATGGGGGGTTGGTTAGTCCACTCCTAACAAACGGTCCATAATTCCAACCAAGCAAGAGCGAATCAGACCTTTCCTTAAGTGAGTCAGACACACTCTTTTGAGGAATCCCCAGCCTGAGTTGCATACCCCTGCTGTTCTATATCTCTCGTATGTTCTCACCTCACTCGAGTCCTCCTGCTGGTTGATGATGGACAGTGCATCTTCAGCAGCTTGCCTCTTGGCCTCTGCCACCGTGCGCTCCATCTTGGCTCTCTCGCTGCTGATCATGTCGTGGGCCTTGCGCTCCGCCTCGGACACGGCCTTCTGAAGCTCGGACATGGCCTGTCTCTTCACCTCATTCACCGCCTCCTCTGGAAACATGGAGGACACAGAAGAGGTCAGTCCGCCCGCACCTGAAAGTTAAAGTTCAGTGTATAAACCCAACAAGCAAAGAATCACACGCACAGGCAAAGTTTGAAATGATTTAAACAAGGGAAATACAGCAGTGACTTTGAATCTGATTTTGAATCCTCTGTGCTAGAAAAAAGAAAGATCAAAAGCAAGCTTGTTTTCCCTCTGACAACTAAAAATATCCTCAAGACAACAGCACACATCAATTAATTCCAGGTAATGACTCAGAAAATGTGCTTTTAAGCAGGAGCAGCGTGTTATTTTATACTTGTTTAGCGGAATAAATAACCTTGCTGCACGGGTGTTAAGCGCCGATATTCTAGCTGAACGTCAAAACGAAAGAAAAGCTTTTTTTATTTGCTCCTATCAAGCTGGTAAGTTGACTAATTGTGTATGCAAATCAGGCAATTTATATTTAAATTATGCATTTCCATTGTGATCCCAGAGGCCCACGCAGCGAGGGGAAGTGGAAAACCGGTAGGACACTGTGCAAGGTGCTTGAATATTTATCACCAACTGTAAACATTTTGCCCATTTCAAACAGATGTATTCACCACCAGGCCTCATTGTGTTAAAATCCTATTTTACAATCCTCACGGGTTTGGTTTAAAACAGCCTCGCCACAAACAGTTGGTGACTTTTGTGATTAAGAAACAAATAGAGACAAAAAGTACAACTAGGAGAACAAACAAGCTTCATTTTATTAAATCGTGAGAGTAGTTTGATACATTCAGCCTCAACAATAATCAATAGAAAGTAATCACAAGTTTAATAGTTTAATGAAAGTTTTAGTTGAAGATTCCAGCTAATTTCATAGTTGTTGAAGGTGGGTGATATTGATCAGTGACCAACGAACTTGCATTAAAATCTCATGTTTATTAAATGTTAATAACAAATAATATATATAGCTCAAGTAAAATGTGAAATGTTACGTGAGACAGGCAAGTTCTGAACAGAGCGTTTCTCGTTGGTTAAAGTACGCATTTCCCCAGCACATTCTTTCCTATGTGAGGGAACTACATTTTTACCAGTGGTGGTTTTGTCTTTAGCCTACTGTACTGCCTGAAGTCATGGAAATTGCCCAGCGTCCTGTGATATGTGCCTGGAGCATGGGATTGTGATTACACACCAAATGCCTTAGATGGAAGATCGATCAAAGTGGGCGAGAGGAGCGGGGAGAGTGGGTAAGTCCCGCCGCTGACGCTCAATTCAATTTAAATGCATATTACTTGTTCGGAGTATCTCTCACATCATGCTTGGTCAAGCAGGGGGCAATTTCTTTTCTCTGAGGGATTTAAAAGCAGATATACTGTATCACTGATGGGGATACAAAGTGGATTCAGAAAACCCTGACTTAAGCCCTCATCAAAATGACTTTGAATTACCATAGGGATAACTGTATTCTGGTATAATAATAATAACAATAATAATAATGCATCAGTTTTATACAGCCAACTCAAAGATGCTTTACAAAGGAAGGACATTGATTCATAAAATATAACGAGATAGAAGATAAAATATACAAAAAAATAATAGAAATAATAATATGGTGCATGAGTTGTAGGCTGCAGGTTTGTAGCTCTCTTTTTGATGGAACTTGCTTATATTATTCAGAAGCTTCCATTTCCCCAAACTCATATGTTTTCATTTTACTTCAAATCTAAAATGTATATCTAAACGCTGCAAGAATTAGTAGTCGCAGTTGTAGTAGTTTAATATCTGTCGTAACTCAACTTTGTGCTTATGATGTCTCTTTCTTATATTAGGTCTTGGTTGAGTGGAAGAGCTCGCACTAAAGGGATTATCCACATCGCCAAGAGCAAGACGATCCCTTTCTGGCTACTGTACTTTGAACTTAGCGACGTCTGCAGCAGCTGCTAAACCCATACGCTTTCTCTGGCACAGTAAAAAACGGCTTCTCTCTGACATCATATTAGAATCCTGCAAAAGTGTGGTCAAACTTTAGAGCTCGTAAAAACAATAGTCTTTCAGAAGCCCGAAGTGTCAGACGCGGGTTTAAAATCTTTCATCATCTGCCAACACTTACAAATGACAAATACATACAACAGTGGCAGATGAAACAGGGGTGGAATTATGCTTACCAGCTTTTTTCCAGATTTCTTCAGGGACATATCCGCCAGACACAGGCCGATGCACAAGAATTTCTGAAGGAAAAGGGAAAATACTGTTTAATGATTGTAGCAAAGTCTTAAAGGGGAAGTATTGTGAAAAATTCCTTGTTTTTTCCCTTCTCAATCAAACTGCTATAAGAGTGATCTGTATTTACTTTTTGCATTCTGAGGCATTTCCACTCTTTACTTGTCTTGATGTGATATAATTTGGCTGCAATACAGACATTTTGGCATTTTGTTCTACATGTAGCAGCTTCACACACCTGTTGTCGTGCTGTCTTGTGATGCTGGACTCTGCTGCCTGGACTGTCCACTGGGGGCGCCCTTCTTCAGCTCCTCTGCATCACTGTAGCGTCGGATCCAGTAGTTGAGCTCCTCGCGGTCGGCCTCCTGACAGCGGCGCAGGACGGTGAGCGAGCGCCGCGTCTTCTCCACCATGTCCATGATGCAGTTGAGCAGCTGTGGGCGACACACGGGTCAGAGCTGAGAGCAAAGCGGCACGTGGTGTGTACCTGAGCCCCGCCTTCCCCACGCACAGAAAGGACTACAGGGCAAACTTTACTCAACTGGACTAGAAGCCATTGAAATGTGCTTTCAACAAATGATACAACTTATTATAACAATATATTCAAGCAACAAGTTGGATTGGATATCGGTTTTGTAATATCAGTAAACCAATATCCTTACTGGACTTTTAGTTGACTTGAAGTATTTACAGAATATATTCTATGACTTTATAGTTTTTAGGTAACAGTTTTATACTTTAAAGTTATTCTGTAGTTGCTTTCAGGATAAATAACTCTTAAATAACACAATTGAAACTATTGTATAGATTAAATTGTTTTTTAAGTCAAGTGATTTGAAGCAAAAAGGTCATATATACATCAGAAGACATTGATTGAAAAATCTAGTAATCGGTTTAAAATATGAAAAAATAAAATAATTACAGTTATGCAGTTATACAACACTGTGGAACAGGTAATATTTGAGTAAGATGAAAACCATAAAGAAAAGGCAAATGTATAAATATAATAAATTGTGTTGTAGTGTAGTAAAGTAATAAAAATGTTATTACTTTTCTTACATGGTCAAGGTGCTTCCACTCCTCTGCCCACTCTCGGTCCGTCAGCCTGTGGTCAATCACTTCCTCCTGCCTGGAGCCAGAATGCATCCCTGCACACATTTACAAAACACATGTATTATTTTTCTGGGGATTGCATATCACATCTGCGTAATCTATACGTCATTAAATATAAATGTGCTTTTGACCACATTAAGTGAAAACCGTCCATTTTCAGTCTGAAATATCTGAAGAAACAGGCTTTGAATGTCACCCTTGCATCATCTCAGGGCTGGACTCTGAGGAGCACAGGGACTGGGCTCCAGAGTCAGAACTAAACATGGGGCAGCTGCCTTTCAGATTCATGCTGCTGAAATCTGTAACAATCTTCCTAAAAATGTGAGACAGGCCTCTTCTCTGACAATGTTTGAATCCAGATTAAAAAAAGTTCTGTTTAGCTGTGCATACAACTGAGGGATTTTATATTTTCAACTTTCTTTGGAATGTACTGTGATTATCTATGATTTTAACGCTATCTTGTTGTCAGCACTTTGAGTTGCCTTGTGTACGAACAGTGCTATTCACAATAACTTGCCTTGCCTTGTACTACTGTTATTTCCCCATCGTGACCCGTGAAGAGTGTAGTATTTCTCACCAATGGGCCGGGCTCTTTCGCGGATCTCTCTGTGGTTGGATGCCGGGTGTCGGTAAGTGTCCCTGTAGTGGTGAGCGATGGCCATGTCGTCCAGTCTGTAGTGCTGGGGCGGGAGGGGTCCGGGATGGGGCAGTCCGTTGGGTTGGTAGGACAGGCCGTTGGAGGGGCTGAAGCGTTGTGCAGGGCTGATGGTGCAGGGCCTTTTGCTGGGGTGAACGTCTGTGTGAAGGCTGCTGTCCCGCTCGAAACCGTTCTCTTTAGTTCTATGGAGTTGAGAAGAGGTGCAAATGTTTATGTGAATAGCTCCTGGCAATTTGTTACATTTATGAAATCAAACAGTACTGACACAGTGGCATAAATTACTGTAGAATATTCTTCTCTTTGTTCAGTATTTCATCAATGTAAAGTCGAGACATTTTGCCATTACTCAAAAAAAAGTGTTTAGCGCAAGAATAGACAATAATATATTAGACAGATCGACGTAAACACAATATTAGTAGAAATGAGAAAAGTACAATATTCTTTGTCATAATTTCATGTGGATCCATTGATTTGAAGATTTCTGCTTGTTCCCACACATAGCTCCTCAACATTCTAACACACACACACACACACACACAGACACACACACATACGCACACACAAATATGCGCACACCTACACACTCTTTTGGAAGGATCAGGTGGGTTTTTGTGTCCTCTGCTGAAGATGAATGTCTGCAGGTGTGTCCGTGTGCGCGTCCTCATGTGTGCGTCTGTGTGTGTGCGCGTCTCCTCTCCCTGTGTGCGTCTGTGTTTGTGAACATGTGTGTCTGTATGTGTACGTTTACTCCCAGTATGTGTTTACGTGTGCGTGTCACCTGTACCTCCATGTGTGTGTCTACATGTGTGCATCTGTGTGTGTCTACATGTGTGCGTCTCCCTGTATCTCCATGTGTGTGTCTACATGTTGCATGGTGCTGTAAAGATGGCGCCGTGGCAAGAGCTCTGGTGTGTGCCGTCTGGTGCACACTGGGGTAGTCTTGCACAGCTTCCCAATGTGGTTTTACTGCAAATTTGTATCTTGTATGTGTGCGTCTGTGTGTGTGTACATGTGTGTCTATATATGCGACTTTATGCGTATGTCTACTCCAAGTGTTTGTATACTTGTGTGCGCCTCCCTGTACCTCCATGTGTGTGTCTCCATGTGTGCATCTGTGTGTGTCTCCATGTGTAAATCTGTGTGTGTATCTACTGTACATGTTTGTGTCTCCCTGTACCTACATGTGTGTGTCTCCATGTGTATTTCTGTGTGTGTCTCTATGTGTAAATCTGTGTGTGTATCTAGATGTTTGTGTCTCCCTGTACCTACATGTGTGTGTCTACATGTGTGTCTACATGTGTGCATCTGTGTGTGTATCCATGTGTGGATTTGTGTGTGTCTACATGTGTAAATCTGCGTGTGTATCTCCATGTGTGCGTCTCCCTGTACCTCCTTGTGTGTGTCTACATGTGTGCATCTCCATGTGTGCATCTGTGTGTGTCTACATGTGTAAATCTGTGTGTGTATCTACATGTGTGCGTCTACCTGTACCTCCTTGTGTGTGTCTCCATGTGTGCATTTGTGTGTGTCTCCACATATGCATCTGTGTGTGTCTCCATGTGTAAATCTGTGTGTATCTACATTTGTGCATCTCCCTGTACCTCCTTGTGTGTGTCTCCATGTGTGCATCTGTGCGTGTCTCCATGTGTAAATCTGTGTGTGTATCTACATGTGTGCGTCTCCCTGCACCTCCTTGTGCGTGTCTACATGTGTGCGTCTGTATACAGTATGTCTCCATGCGTGCATCTGTGTGTGTCTACATTTATAAATCTGTCAGTGTATCTCCATGTGTGCGTCTCCCTGCACCTCCTTGTGTGTGTCTACATGCGTGCCTACATTTCAAACTGTTTTCTATGTATCTTATAGCTATTTAATGGTTTTACTCTTTGTCTTATTTTTTGTGAGCGTGCTCCGTGTGCGCGTCTACATGTGTGTGCGCGTCCACGTGTGCACGCGTGTCTCTGTGTGCGTCTGTGTGCGTGTCTACATGTGTGTGTGTGTGTTCCCGCTCCGTCAGTTCACACTTAAATCTCGCCTTGCCTTCCCCCCACAGTCTCCCTGGCTCTGTCTCACTCTGTCTCGTCGTCGCCCCGTTTCTCTCTGAACAGATTGAACTTCTTAATGAGCTGGTTTTATGGGCTCCTAACGCTCCTCCACAGCTCTCCATATGCTCCATCCCTCTATCCACTCATTCTCTGCCTCCTCCTTCTGCTCAAACATTTTTTTCTCAGCATCCTGCGACAACAATGTGTCTATAGTGGTGGCCTTTACAATAATTGCAGAGGACATACGCGTACATAAGGTCATATGAATAAATGTTTAGCATTTGCCCTCATTAGGTCGCCACTACCGCATCAATATATAGTTTTATGTTTACTATTGTATATTGAAATGCCGTATTCAAGTCTGTTGAAATGCCTGTTTGTATTTATTCATGCTGTAGAGTGGATTTTGTGCTAAATATTCAACACACATTCTCTGACATTTTTAAGACTTTCAGAAGCCAGTCACACATTCAGGGTAAATAGCTTGGTCGGGTTTTGTTTGAATATCTTGAGAATATTTGTGGACAGACATATGAAGTATCACACATGGAGGAATAAAATTGGCTTCACAGCAATCTCGTCTGTCCACAGCTGGAGCAGTGTTGACCAATATTGATGCTTTACACAATACGTGAGTAGACACCTGCTCCCTTTACCAATATGACTAACCTTCCTCCTCCGCTAAATCCACCAATATCATCTGTGTTAGGCCGCTCCCGTTTCGACAGCGTGGCCAAAATCACATTGACCTCATTGACTTTGATTTCAGAATGTATAATTTCATTCATTCCTTTATTTGGAGCTTATAACTGAAGTCATTTCTTCAATGTCTATTTTACACTATTTACAACTGTTGCACTTCAGTCCTGTATGTGCACTGCAACACTGACATTTCCCCACTGTGAGAAAAATAAAGGTTGTCTTGCCTTAGCTTATCTCATAGAAGTATACTATTAAAGTTATTCTTATATAAACATAAAGTCATTTTGTGGGCAGAAAAAAAACCTATACATTCCCCCACAATGATATAATTTTATAAACTAGTACATCTACCTGTACCCCAAAGCCTGCCTCCTGTGTTTTAATATTGGTTAATGCATACTTATTAATACTATAAGCCTTAGAATCTGCTTTTTCCTTTTTCAGACCTTATTCAGATTCAGATTCAGATTCAGATTCATTTATTTGCCATTTGCAGTAAAACCACATTGGAAAAACTGCAAGACTACCCCGGTGTGCACCAGACAGAGAAGACGACACACACCAGAGCTCTTGCCACGGCGCCATCTTTACGGCGCCGTTATTTTGACCTAACTTTTTTTTTTATTGTCAAAAAACGTCTGAAATAAATGAATACATTGAATTGAATTGGACTTTCTTAATCAACAAAGTGTTATTCAGGAATACACAACGAACGCAGATTTAAATGAATAAAAATACTCACTATAAAGAAATGAAATTATAACTAACATGAATACAATCGACAGACACGTTTGAGGGCTTCAAAACATTTCAAACCATGGAGTTTTTAAGTGGATAATATCTGTATTGACTTCCTCAAAACTCATTACTATTTTACAGCCCTTCTTATCCAAGACACTCGCTCACATCTTTTAGTTTCCCTCCGGAGCCTCGTAGAAAACACACTGCTGTTGCCAAAGTATTAATCAGTCACCAATCGACAGTGGACGCTCTCATGTAATTACAGATTCCCGTTCCGATCCCGTTATTCCGGAACAGGGCTCCCACAGAATGCCGAGCCGAGGTAAGCAGAAAGCCAGAGGTGCTTAGCCAGCCATATTGGTGCTGGAGCCTCATCCGTATGTGTTATCGGCTCATCTCTCGAGACACTCACGCCTGCACCGCCAATGAACAAGGATTCTTCTATCTGTCTCCACACGTGCGCCGCAGTCGGAATACAGATGCCCACTTACTTTTTCTTCCTGTCTATAGATTCGCACACCTTTCCCCTCCGCTCACTCCCCCATGCACGAGGCGGCCCGCAAATATGCAGGGCGTACAAAAAAGTCACAGTTGGGGGAGTGGAGAGGTGAAAATTATTAATATGGTGTTCGGCATTTTTGTCCCTCAGCAAATATAAAAAGTACATTTTCCTATCCCGCTGCTTATATTATAAAAATGAGACCGCCCAGGGGAACCGCTCTTTATTTCAAAGGGCTACATAATGCCTGCAGTACAAACAATATGGCGCGAATACACAAACAAAGCACAAAAAACATCTGGCTTTTAAGTTTGTTAAAACTTTCAAATGAATGTATCAGCATAGATCAGCGCGTTTGTAGATCTTCTTAATAAAAATCATAAATAGCTCGATATGCAGGATGTCAACAGGCATGAAAGTATGACGCAAGGCTTGGGTTGTGTTGCAGCTTGAGAGCAGAACTATTACCTCATGGAGAAGGGAGCACTGATTTCAACTTTCAAAACCTCTCCAGCTGCTACGGAGATATTGCACTTTTTACATGACATATTTCACCATGATTTTTAAGTGTATAATCTACATAAGAAAGACATTTACAGACCAAAACATGACCACTAGCCCTGGTCCGAGAGACAAAAATACAGAGGTTGGATTCATCTCATTCATTTCAACCTGATGATGTGTTTTTTTAACTAGATTATTATATATAAAAGAATCAAAAAGTTCCATTGTGTTCCTCACAACAAACATAAAAAATAAAGGAGTTGGTCCACTGAGAAGGGAGTTTCATTCTTGCCGGAATCACCATCAGCCTAATGTTACGGCTGATTACTAAACAGTGATATGAGTACGATTGTCTGTGTGGAGTTGTGGCGTGCTCACCGGTCCGGCGTCCTCCTCTTGCCGTTGTCGTTAACGTCCAGTAGCAGCTCGGAGGAGTCCACAGGGCTCGTGGTGCTGGTGTCCAGGAGCAGCTGCTCGTGTTGGGCCAGGTACTGCGCCGGGTTCTGTTTGGCCAGACGTGCACAGTGCAGCAGCTCCCTCTGCAGCAGCGGCAGGTTGGCCTGAGGACCACAGACGCTCATGAGAAACACGAAAGACTTTCTGCTTATGTCTCTAAAGTCAAAGAGAGATTTATTTTATATAGTCTAAAACAAGATGCATTACGCCTGTCTTAATAATTATATTAACTTCATAACTGATGGATTTAACAATATAATTTGAACCTCATTATAGAGTGTGTACTTTTCTATGATTTTTGCTATTTTTGACGTACAATTAGGAGGTTTTGGCTTTATATTGTTAAATATTCCTGTATATAAATCATCCATCTTGCAGATATTGTCTCATTAAGAACACAATGACTGCATTTTTTTTCTTTAAAAGTCAGAACTCTTTTCTAAACCACTGATCCAGAATTATCACTAAAACATAAGAAAGCTGTGAACCTTGTGAAGGTGTCACTTCATTGCATGTAAACCCAAATTTAAAGCCATATTCAGAACATTCTCCATAATTATATATCGGTTTCATGTCATCTTGTGGATTATTATATCCAAAGAACATATCTGTATTCATGGAAACAGCAGAAAGGTACAAGTCCAGTTTGTGATGCAAGCCCACTCACAGTACGGTTGTTTTTGACAGATTTCTCTCTTTCTGAACAACTGCATTAACAAAGTGAATGACGCCAGATTCACTACATGGGGCTCTCATACAGGTTTTATTCAGTGGCGGAAAAAAACATTTCAAAGCTCAGTAGTAACATTCATTTCAATGTACAAACTCCATATATCCTAAAGCAACACAAACACGAATGTTCTCTCAGTTTCATCATTCTTCAGAGCAGATACATCTCTGTGTGAGTGACCCCTGGCCCCATTATCACACAAGCAGCCTCTTCCACCAGAACCACAATATTTTTTTCCCGTTTGTTTTCTTCCAACATCCAATGAGGGGTCTGTTTTCTTGCAGGTCATGCAGGTATAGCAGCATCCACATCAAAGACATCTGATGGGGCACGTTTTCAGGCAACAAGATGAAAGTGTTGCGTCAGTCGGATCAGAAAGAAAAAAGTGGCAGCTATTTTGGCATCACCCGAGCCTCTGGAGAGTCCATCTTCAAACTTTCCTAATCTTTGTTTTGTCCTCGGTAAATAATCTTTCCAAGTCTTGCTTCATAGTCATTTCCTCATCCAAATTGCTACTCTGTTTTGTCCTACATTAGCGGTTGAAATTGGCTTCATTCTTTGACCGTTTTGTGATGTCGTTGCCAACAGCGAACGCACAACACGGGTAGGCGCTTGTGTCATAATCATACAGTGTGTTAATTAGCCATAGTAAAGGAAATGCCAAGTGGCGGCCTTTGCTTTACCTGCCAGAGTTAATGGCGCGTTAACGGTTTATGATCATAATTACCCTAGGCAAAAAAGGGACATCAAATAGATTGCTTTGACCCACGTGAACTCATCCTCTTCTTAATGAGAGGTCACTCTAATTGCTGGAGATATGGGATGCATTAAGAAAAGGAAGTCAAAAACACGGAGTGCAGAAGAAACGGGGGTCGTTTTTCATAAGATAAACTGTGCCAATTGGCCCCTGTGATCTTACAATCCCCAACATCTGCGCCCGGGGAAGGGAAAACCACCAACGGGGGTTTGTAAGTTTGTCAAAGAGCAGCAACGTGCGTTTCAGACCCAGCCACTATAAAATAATAAATAGAAATGTTTGCGAATACGATTTCATGTCTGCATCTTCTTTATCATGTCCACATACCATATTTTAACCAAATTGACTTTCAGAAGCACTTGTCATTAGTGGAGTGCAATGTTAAGCTTAATATGCTGCTATCTCACACAGAGGCACATGACTGGGACTGGACTTGGACTAAGACTGGGACTGGAGGAGGATGAGCCTGGACAAGACCATGAACCATGGACACACGAGTGGACACACAGAAAAGGAGGAACACCGTACAACTGCATTTGTCGTTGGTCTTACGTTATAGTATCAATTAGTATAGTATTATTAGCAATCCGAAGAAGATAGAGAAGCTAAAAAATACTTTCATAAGAGTATAAGTATAAGGGTGAATATAGTGTGCTATAAAGTATTTCAGGAACCACTATTTAAGAGTCCAGCCGGTGTATTTGATATAGGCACAAAAATGGTGTTAGAAAAATACAATTTCTACAAAAGTAACTGAGAATGAGCTTGCAAGCCCAACATAAATGCTTCCAATACTTTCTTTTAACAATCAACTGATTCCAGTTTCGTTGCTCAGTTCTAGATGGAGCCTCTTCAGCTGAGAGCACTGTAATCTCGAGTGGCGTCGTCCGGCATCACGTCATGGCGCTCTGTGGTTTATGATGGCCTGTTTTCCAGTAAAGACTCTCGTCCAATTATTGGTTTTGAATTAAGAGAGAAGGAAAGTGGTGTATCGCATTAGTGTGATGAAAAAAACCTCTCTGGCCTTGTGCGCATTGTTACAGCTGCTCTCCTCTGCACCTATATCAGATTGTGCCTCCACCTCCATCTCCTCCCCATCTTTGACCATATGGTAGCGAGCATTAAAAGGCCCCACAGTGGGAAGACACTAAAATTAGACTGGGGAGTAAGAGAGAGAGTTGCATCTTTGATTTTCTCGTCATCCCAGTGATACAGCGACCATCTGGCAGAGTGTGGAGAGGCATCCGCGGCACAGACGATGGATGGTTAGAGGACAGTATAGGTAAACAAAGACAGGAAGAAGGAGGAATGAATAGGTGAAGTGTGCAAGGACTTAGGAAAAGAGACAGAGGACACTAGACTGTGCTGTTTGCAGTCAGTAATGATGGTTCTAGTGGGACCAATTTGAGCTGCCCACATCCAGCCAGGACCTCAGCACAAAGTAAAGTTGTGTGTTTGGAAATACACACAGACAACAGCGAGCAGACTGATCTGAGAGGAGCAGACGCTTGTCTTGGTAAATAAAATCTGCCTCACACCTGTCACTCACGCTCATGCGACAAAGAGGCTTCCAGTTTGTGCTCACTCGTTCTACTACCAAATGCTGATGCTCAAACAGTAGTACTTTTTTAGGAGTTGTTGATCATTGTAAATGCCAAAAGAAGGGGCTTTGTATTTCATCCCAGGCATCGGGAAAAACTTTGTGATTAAGTTACAATCGGGTTAAGGTTAGTAGTAGTTTGTTTGGTTTGGGGCATTCTGTTAAGGCTACCATGTTAAGAGAGCCCCTTGCCAGGATATAGTGGCATACAAGTTGCTCAATAAGTTCTTTGGATTGTCATTTCACACAAAGAAATTTACAAGTAGTCAATGTGAAAGCAATAATGAACATAAAATGCATTAATTATACATTTCAAACATATTATACAGTCTGATATGTGTTAACCTGTGGTGGCCAAGAGTCTTGTGAAAATATAAAATGTTGTGCCTTTATCCGATTGGAAATACTGTCTTTTACATACTTTAAGTTGAGAGGGGATTGGCTGAGTGAGGGTTGTCCTCTCTGCCACATTTTGGACTGAAAAAGCCGATCTTAAGATGCAACAGAGGCCCAAACTATAGATGCATGTGAAAACTAGTGATTGAACCAAAGGGTTTTGAGAGCGAGTTTGATGGATACAATGTGGTAATATGAAAAAATATCCATTATGGTTTGAAAACTATGAACTCCAGCTTTAATTTACACTCTTTCCCTGAAGCAAAACGTGTGATTGAATTAACAAATAAATATAAAAAAAATAGTTCAATCAAAGATACACAAACCAGTGCCTCTTGCGATGCCTTAACAAACAATACAAATTGAAGGGTACTCGAGTCGACTAATTAATAATTTGTAAGAACAAGCAGCTCCAAAAAGAACTGAAAACATGATGTAATGATGTAGAACTACACAACAGTATCTTAGCCTCTCGTGCAACTGCAGAAACAGTGACGCAACAACGCAACAGACCCACACATTCAAAACACAAAACCAGCCAAAGTCAAAGGCCACAGAAAAGCATAATATTCATGTCTCCTTGGCAAAGATAGTTTTCCCAGACTGTTTATTTGAATAAGTACCTTTAGGAAGGGGATGACAAAAGGTCTCAGAGGAAAGTTGGTGGCTTCTTGGAGTTTGGAGTGAAATTCTTCGATGGTTAGCGTGGAGTTCTGCAGGGGGAGAGGAAAACACATGAAACACATTATTACTTATTGCAGGCGATTACGTTGTAGAAGCATAAGTTAGACATTTGGGAGTGTGTAATCTGAAACATATGTACAGGTCAGGGGCAAAAAAAAACACCAAACAAAGCTTCTTTTCAACAATCAAAACACACGCAGGAGTCACATCTTCGCACAGTCTGAATGTGTGACGGAAATAACCTTTAGCATATGTGGATTTACACTGAGACATAGTGGTCCCTGCTGTGGCCGAGCTGCTTGTTTACTTAAGGGTTTTGGTTTTCAGTGAGTGTAAAATTAGACTTTCATAAAACTACAAAAACATCAATTTGTACGAAATGTGCAAACGCAATATTTCAATAAACGGACCGGGTTTGCAATTTAAAAAGAGCCCCCCTCGTTTTTTGCTTTTCTTTCACAGCCAAATCGTTTTTGGACATGTGCTAAGACCACTGGAAATGTGCTTTTTATGAGAACGTATCCTGAATTATTGCATTTGACGATGGAATTTCTAAAGATCTACGAAGACAACTCCAAGTAAACGACAAAAGTTTCAAGCGGAAGGCTACCATTTCAGATAAATAGGGAAATGTATTTTTTCATTTTCATATTATGCTGTGTCCCAACTTAAGTCGCTATAGTTAACCAGACAACTTGTCCAGACAACATGGACTGATAACATGGACTTTAAAACTTTCTACTGAAAAATTCCAAGATATATGTCAAGATTACACCGCAGCTACATTATCATTTTATACAAAGTTTTGTGACGCAATCATATACCAATGTCAGTATAAAAAAAAAACGGCTCTGAGCTTTGTAATGTATGACAAACATGACTGATTTGGTAGCGCTGAAGCTGGCTGGATGACACTGAAAGTTTGTGTTATAGCAAGGCATTTATGTTGGACGCACCTGTTATACAACTTTTTGGCTTTGCATAAAACATTTCCTGTTTATTCCATTCTTGAGTTATAAAAAAATGGCGAGATATGGAAGGCAGCGGGGGGTCTGAAGTGGGTTGCACATTCTCAAACAGTAATCACAGATCCTTTGAATGTTTGACAAGGCAAAGCTTATTTCAATGCATTTTCCCACCACGCATTGAAACAAAACACCTTGAAAGAGTCTTGCATGTACAAATGGGACCCAACCAAGTAAAAAAAAAAAAAAAACCTGAAAAAGATAAATTATTTCTCCTCTATTATTTCCCAGACCTGAGTTTTGTTCCGTTCAGGTTTACATCTGTTCGTCCAGACTGCGCATTGCTGTTTTCTTGACAGGTAGTGAAACCTCAGGAGTCTCCCTGTGCCCCGGTCCCAGCCACAAAAGAGCTAATTAACAGTGTCACTCTCCATACTGAGGAAGGGAGGAGGTTGGGGGAGGTTGGGGGAGGAGGAAAGGGGTGGGACTGTTAGGGAGAACGAACGCCAAAAGGACACAGGAGAGAAGAGCGCGAGGAAAATAAACACGAATCCAAAAGCAGGCCATGCTCCTTGTGTCTAATTAAAAAAAAAGAAAAAAAAAATCCTCCCCCGCCTTCTTTCTCATGCAACGCTCTCTTCAGTCATTATTTGTGCCTGACAACTTTAGTACATACAGTAGTATTGCCCCAGATATATCAGTGCCAATTCAGTTTCATGTCAGTCTGTGTGTAGGAGCAACATATGCATCTTGTTTATATGTTTGTCCCTACGAAGATCAAATATTTCTTTTTTTCCAATCCACAGAGAGAATTTGAAGCGACAGGATAAGGGCAAATACGTGTTTCAAATTCAAGCAAGACAAACATTTTGGGAACATTTTAAATTAACAACATGCTTCTTTCCCAGTGCTCTGCCATTTGCTTTCGGGTTCATTCTGATGAAATCTTGCCTTTTGTTTGGGAGTGGCACAAAGAATGCAAACTGGTTTCAGTCTTTTTGGGCAGATGCTACATATACTGTGAGCTAAAGTTCTTCATACTTTTATTAATGCATTTTCTTTGTCAAATATTATGAACAGATTAGACCATAACTTGCTTCATCTTATTAGAAAACATTTATCTTTTGCAGACTTGTGAGAAAGACCCCTGTGAGCCCCAATGGTCCTCTCTTTTTCACTTTTCTGTCTGAAAAAGCTGATTTGAAGGTCAAAAGATACATGCATGTGAACACTAGTGAAAGAGCCGAATTGTTGAAAGTAATCAACTAATTAGAAGGATTTCTCATTACATCATTGATTTTAGTTGTGGGTCAAAAAGTTAGGTACCTCAGCATTAATGTGAAATCTACCGTTATGGTTTTAATGCTTTTTGTTTTTTGTATTGTTTTCCCTGTGACTCTCTGACAACAGGTTTTCTAGGTAGATTTTAATCGATGACACAATTTTATAGATGCAGTCAGTGATTTTTTCCTGACAATTTAAAAAAATAAAATACATTGTGGGAAAACGTCCCTAAACCCTAAAAGTAGTCAAGTTATCATGTTTTCAAATTGTAATGGAATTGACCAGATGCCTAGTTGACAAAAATGAATAAAAGATATTTTGGAGTGGGCCGATAAAAATGAACCAATGGGATTCGTTCGTCCCTAACGAACCAATGGGATGCCTTCACCCTCTTCCTGTTTCTCGCCAGTGCGCGCACCTGAGTTATCAGATTTTCTAAAAACCTAAAAGGACTGAACAGAAAATGCCAATTTCATGTTTGCCGCCCACTCTCCCTGTTGTGACAAAGAAAAGAAAATGCTGGATGTTTGGTTTGGTGGAGAGGCGAGTGGTTTTGAGTTCGTGCTACGGCTAAGCTAACAAAATCGCTTACTGCATCTTTAATTGAAATATACAGTAATATATATATATTTTACATTAATCAATCTGACGCAGTAAAATCTAAAAAGTAAAGTTGACTTGAATTAGTACAAAATGGACCCGATACAGGGCTGTTGGCTAACTTGGCTAACTGTTTATGATTGCACATATCGTTCATCCATACTGTATAGATTCATTGTTTTCGGTTTGTCCCATAACATCTCTTAGTTCTCAGACACTCACCACCAGCCCCAGCACGAGCGTCCGCACCCTCTCCCCGATCTCCGGTGAGATGTCGTTGCCAAACTGCTGCAGCGTGGTGAGGAAGCGCTTGAGTTTGCTGAGCTGCCGGGCGCCACACGCGGGCGGCAGCTGCTGATTGGCCAGTGAGGAGGAAGAGGAGGAGCTAGGGCCGTTACTGTAGCCGTTGGGAGGCGAGGGGGCACCGTTCAGAGCTGTGGGCGAGTGGCTGCTTCCATTGGTTACTGTGGACACGACAAACAAGACCATAATATTTACTATATTTCAAAATAATACAGAAATAAATAATACAGTACATTTTACATTAACAATGAAAAATTAACAATGTAATAATATCCGCGTTCTCAAAGCAGCTTGGTTCTATCACTACTTTTCACATTTATGCAGTTTCGGCCCCTTTCACATCACCTGCCTTTTCAAACAGAAAAGTGGAAAAGAGAGGATTATCTCCCCTCAGCCAATCAGCTCTCAACCCAAAGTGTCAAATAGTGACTCACGGGGCTATTTCTTACAAGTATGGATAAGATAACATTTATAAGAAGAAGAAAGTATGTTTGTTCACCACATTTTACTGTCTCTTTCTACTGGACTAAATAAAATGTACATAGTGGAGCAGAAAGTTGCATGTCATGTGTTTCGGAATCCTCCCTCATATTGGATGACTATCATTGTAAAACTGTATTTGGGTGTTACTTCCCAAAGGCTCACAGTATTCTGCCCCACATGATGCATATACTAATAACAATAATTCCTTTTTATTTCATGGTGCCTTTCAAGACACCCAAGGACGCCTATTGATATATAAAAAACACCACACACAATATTAAAAGTACAGATTATAAAACATTTTGAAAAAGGCCAGTTTGAAAAGATTTTAAGATGTGATTTGAAAATATCCAGAGAGTCAAACTGTGGCAGGTCAAGTGGTAGAGTGTCCCGGAGTTTGTGGGCAAATTGGCTGAATGCTCTGGCCCCCATCATGGCCATTTTGACGGTGGGTACAGTGCAGCGGCAATATAGGGGGAAATGATACAATGAAAAAACCAGGAAAAAAAAAAGGATTTTAAATTGGCTGCAAGTTCTAAATACACGAATATAGCAAACTCCCATTTTAGCAGTTGTCAAAATGCACTGCGTATAAATGAGCTTTTATAAATGAATCACAGGCCTGTCTGCGAGATTTGCCTATTAGCGCCGCTTGTCTCATCAATTGCAAAGTCCGTTAAAAACATGCCCATTTGCCAACTTCAACCATATCAGCCCTCTCCACCTCCTCCATTCAAACCCCAGCCAGGTCCCCTTGCTACATCTCGCCGTTCCCCCCGTGCACAAAGAGATACAAGGTGGCATAAAGCTCTCTCCTTAATGAGATTAGCTTTTCACCAGCTCTCCGCTCACTCCCCCTCTGGCTGACGTCCAACGCCTGCCACTGCAGAGATACTCCACTACACGGCATCTGCTAACAATTACGCCGTTCTAGGAAATCAAAGCGAAAACTGCATTGTTAAACCCATAGTAATGAGAAAGTGCTTTGACTTTTCCCTCCCTTCCAATCCCAGAAGCTGGCCGTGTTAATTGTGGCGTGTTGTAAGAGAGGCGCACTGAAACAGAAGAAGAAAGTATAAGGAAGTGGAGGGGAACGCGTGGCTCTTGTTGGCAACATCCAACGCTGCTAAAGTCGGAGCTGAGTGGCCTTTGATTCTTTGATTCTAGTGCTCTTCACGCGAGTGGTTAAGCTGCACTTCTTGCTCAATACTAGGCTGTAATTTGCTCGTCAGTGGATACGTGGCGGCGCGGCACTGCTCCAAGGGCTTGTCTGAGGTTTAATGAACTTGGGATAGCGGAGAAGCAAGGAGAGGAGAGCGCTGCAATTTGGGGCAGCCTGAGTGCACCCCGGCCTTGTTGCCAACAGTACTGTAAAGAATGCTCTGGCAACGCGTGTTTACATTTTTATACATGAGCTTGGCAGGATGACGCCTATGGAAATGCAAAAATGTCTCATTTACACTCCAGGTTTCAACGAGAGGCACTGTTCAAAAGAGCAGCGCATCTCATCCAACTCAGAAGTGCAGAAGCCCTTCACGTATACGAGTAAGTTATGCATTGAGTTTGTGTGAAAACTAAAGTTTGGGTGTCAAACAGCCTGCAATGAACTGAGTCAAGTTCAGCCCTGAACCACATTTTACATATATATAGCTATTTTATAATGCATATATGAGATGTGTGTCTAGATGAGGAGCCTGAGAAAGAAAGTTACAGCCAGTTTAACCCTTTAATGTTCACTCCTTGAAGAAAGCCTTGTCACGTTTTCGTTTTTTTGATTAGTAGAATTTATAACACAAAAGTGGCGACAGTAGCTCAGTTGGTAGAGCATTGGCCTTCAGGCCAGAAGGTTGTGGGTTCAATTCCCACCTCTGCACCTTCTCCACCGACTCCCACTGATGACTGCTGTCGTTGTGTCCTTGGGCAAGACACTTAACCCCACTTTGCCCAAAGCCCCCACTGAAAGATCAAGGCTATGCTCACACGCAGTGAGCAGCCGTCCTCCTGTGGACTCACCACCTGCAGAGGGTCAGTGAGGGGCTGGTGCTATGAGACTTGGGTGGCATCTCTGACTGCCACCCCCCTGACCCAGAAATGGATTAAAAGGGTAGAAAATGGATGAATGGATGGATGGATATATAGCGCATTTTCCAGACCAAGGTCACTCAAAGTGCTTTACAATGTTCAGAGTTCAGATATTGTTCCAATCATTCCACACACGGTGATGACGGAAGCGAGTTGCCGAACACACTGGACCATCAGCCCCAATCAACACCATCCATTCACTCTCTCACATACATTAATATTGTGTATATTTTTAGTGGTAGGGGAAACCGGAGCACCTGGAGGAAACCTACGCAGACACAGGGAGAACATGCAAACTCCACTCAGAAAGGCCCTGTTTCGACTGGGATTCGAACTCAGGACCTTCTTGCTGAGAAGTGAGAGTGCTATCCACTCAGCCACCGTGCTGCTCATTTTGAACCCGTGTTAAAGGGTTAAAACCTCAAGAACTGTGGATACACTACAGCGTTTTCGATGCACTAATATGAATGATCGCCATCTGCTGACCATTTGCAGAACTGCACCATTTAAATTATTGGGGCGCAAGGAATATGGGGGGATTGTTCCCTGTTTGACTTTTCAAAATCAACAAATAAAGTACAGATCTTTTTAAGCTTTGGTGTTGTTGAATTTAAATGTCTCTGAAGGCTTATGGAAATATCAATGGACTCTGACATGACAGTTTTAGATCGTGTGCATTAGATCGATGTGATATGACCCCACAGCTCACAAAGCATCATGAATTTGCGAAAGAAGCAAATTTATAAATTGGGGTTGGGGACCATTCCTGTTTTCATTTGTGCTTTGTCCACATTTTCCAACATCCATGTCAAGTCGTCTTCAAAGCAGAGTGTACTCACGTGTGGTCGGCGTGTAGGAGCTGTTTCGAGGGGCTCCCTGGGTGCTGGGTGGAGGCGGCATGTTGGGAGGGGTTAACCTGGACTGTGCTTTGACGTCCGCAGGAGAGTCGGGCATGGTGGAGCGCTTCCCAGGACGATCTGCAACACACACACACACACAGAGACACAGTTAATAAAACACAATAAGTGAGAAATTCTCAGACTGTGAAATGAGGAAGAGGGGAGATTCACGAGCCAACATAACGACAGCCGCGTAAATATGCAGCGAGTGCGAGCTTCATTCTCACACCATCTGCGGCAACGCTCACGTTTACACAAATGCACTTTTTTTTCCTGCAGACGACATTCACATCTGCTCACAACAAAGTGACATCGACAAACTGATATAGCCTTTGTGTACATCAAAACTTTCAAATGCAGCCAATGTGCGAGTACCTCCTTAATGTGGTGTGTGCACTCGTAACAATCATTCTTTGCAAGCAAAAATGGGAATTGTGTATGAGGTAATAACTTTATGTGCACTTTTTCAAATGAACGTAACTTAAATTTTAATTTTTACTCTGAATAAAATTATGCTTTTTAAACAGGATATAGCAACTCACAATCGCTGGTCAATAGTAATGCAAATAGATATTGGGTTTTTGGTGTAATGATTGTATTAAATGTCTTAACAACAGGTTCATACACTGTTCAAATCTGTAGAACTGATGATCCCGTCTCCCCATAGAGGCTTAGAGAATTAATAGAGAATTTCATTTGTGTGTTTTTAATGTGATTTAAAAAAAAAAAAAATTGTTGTAGGTGAAATTGTTTTCAAAGAACGTAAGCCTCAAATACATGACAATTCAGGCTTACTCACACATTTGAAACATGAAACTTTAACTAAACCACTTCCAAGGTGACACTGCTATCAATAGATTTAAAGACATTTTAAAGAAACGCTTCTGTCACGTATCAGCTTCCAGCTCTGATGACACACACACACACACACACACACGCACACACATACACACACACACACACACACACACACACACACACAAACACAGCGTTACACCTGAAAAACGGTTTCAAGCATCTAAATTAAATCAAACAGCTTTCCAGATAAGGGCATTAATCATGAGGAAAACATTTTAGGACATGGTTATTTTCATTTAATTCAGTTGCTTTGTGCTGCTGAGATAAGTGAGCTTATCGAATATATGGGAACCACAGACTCTATCACAGTCCTGCACTGGTGCGAGCAGAGCCACAAAAAGAGATAGAGGACAGCAGTTACAAGCCTATCAGGCGCTGGACACAGGTCTTATCAGGGCTCAGTGCCACCGGCTCCCCCCGGCACAGGACCCAGACCAGGACCAGGGATTCAAGCAGGAGCTGGGAATGAAGAGTTCACCAAAGGATTTCACTTTACAGGATAAAGATGGAGCTAGTTTTAGGTAAAAATAAACTAATGTTTAATCAGGCAAATTATTCAAGCCTTCTGACATGAAAACATGTATTAATATTATTTTAATACATGATATTATTGATATATTTATATTGCATTTATTCTGTTTTTATTGTTTAAAAAAATGTTAAGATGAGAAGTAAAGTTTTTCATTTATACAGCACTTTACTGAGACACTTTACTTTATGTATTAGTTATTGTAGCTACAGCTGCCCTGTGGCAGAGTGACAGATGTAAGGTGAATGCAAAAGTGGTGCTACCCACCCTCTCACAGACACCATCATGTCTGCGGTCCATGAAGCCCATAAACTCCGCTAAACTACCTTTCTCTCACATGAACGTCTTAAACTGGACCACACTATGGCTGATAAATAGCATATGTAAAATTCATATAATAACATAACATAAAGAAACAGGCATTCTTACAGAGGGTTCTCTCCACAGTTCTGACCCATAACCATGAGTGCTCGTAAGTTTCTTGTCATGTGTCAAAGCAATAACATCTTCTTTGGACCCAGGATGTGCATTTTTGTGCATCTACCCTGAAATAAAATAAACCTTGTATATTTTGATGACCATTTCTGTCAAGTCAAAGTAAAAGAGGTGATGTGCTAAAGAGACAAGCTAACTTAAGCCTGTTAGAAAGCCCAGTCATCTCCAGCAGTCAAGCTGTGGAGCATTGTAACTAAGTATTTTAGTCACGGGGCTTAGCTTTAGCATGACAGACAGGGAAGAGATGGAAATGTCACTATAATACTAAACGCTTGGCTTCTTCCCCAGAAAACATTAGCCTGTAGAATTTCTATTTTTACATAGTATACAAAAGCATTTGAGCATTTATAACAAAAATGAATAACATCCAAATTCATGCAAATGTGATTAATACGCACGCTGAAATCAACAGTTAAGAGTCTGGCAGAGCATTCTGTCGGAGCCTCCGAGACCAAGAATGATGTCATATGTTAGTTTTAGGTGCTGATTGTTTCAAGTCTCTTGTCTGGACTCAAAATCCGACTTGGACCAGAGTCAAATGTAGTTCATATGTAAATCTGGATACAATTAAGAGTCTGTCAATACTAGAAATATGTCTTATTATTTCTTATACGGGTATAAAGAGTTCAATCAACTTTATTATTCACAAATAAGAAAAATGACCATTAAAAGCGTCTTTTTTTTTGCCTGTCTGCATTTTGAGCCACTAAACGGCTGTTCCAGGTCCCACTTATCCCTCTGCATCCTCAGAGCACAGCCAGAGTAACCGCTTCACTGCTTCTATTTCACCGCTGAAGAAATACCGTTGCCATTATTTGTTTTATAAACCTTGGATAGTGGCTCTTACTTTTAGCTGCCAGGCATGATATCCGGTCAGCAGCAAAAATATGATCTATGAAAATAATGTGTAGGTATATGAAGCAGAGGGGGAGAAGGTAATTCATCATGTTATGTGTGTTTTTAAAAGGCCCAAGCCAAACACCGACACATGGTAGCACTCAGCCAGCGTCACCTTTCTGCGTTCTATAAAATTGTATATTGGCTTTTGTAATTGTGTGGTCATTTTCTTGGCTGGCTTAACATAACTCAGAGGTAGCTGCTGAATGTTTCCTTATAGGGCAGGGAAAAGGCACGACAAAACAGGTCTTTGTTTGAAATACAAAATATGTGTTATCAAGTAAAGAACATGGCACTCATTTTAAATCCCAAATATGTTTTTTGTTTGTGGTTCAAATTTCAGTATAGACAAAACTTGATCCAACAACATGAAAAGTAAAAATGAAATATCATGTTTTTATACTTATTCAGCGCAGTACAGCCATGCTACAATTGTCTCTGATCTAAGTTTTATAAAAGAAGGCGGTAAAACTAAAATAGAGATTGAACAAAGAAATAATTTAAGTTTTGAATCAATCTATCAATATTCCTAAAGCACTATTGTAACCCAAGAGTGCTTTACAGACCAACATAAAAAACCAATAGACTTAATAATAGACATTAAAATCATCTGAGTATAAAATATTTTCCAGATTTTTTACCAGAAATCCCACCTCGTTTTCCAAAAGACAACTGTAATTTTCTTTCAACTCTCCGGTCTTCTCCTGACTTTCACTTCTTCTTAACGACCCACAAAGACATTTTTCCGCATTTGTAGCTCTTCTATTTTTGCCAAAATCACAAAAGAAGCAAAATTCTCATAAACAAATTCTACAATCCAATGCGCATGTGCGGCCGGTTGTGCGCTAACATGAGAAAAAAGGAAAAAAACAGGATGTGTGATTGGAGCCGGGTACATGACTGACAGAGAAATAACCAATTATTTTTGTACACATTGCATTTATAATTGGGAGGAACATCTTGCGTTTAAAATTACCTTTAAAATCCAAGCAACGAGTTCCACAAAGCAAATCAAAAATGCTGTGTACATTCAAATAGTTTAAATTCACAAACAGATAAGTGTCGTGGAAAAATATCGGTATTCTCTTTACCAACTAGTTTTGTGAAAAGCCAGATTTATTTCAGTGCCATACAAATAAGGTTTCACCCCCTCTTGCGCAAATTCCTTCAGAACAGGTTGAAGATTGTAACAGGAAGACAATATTTGCACAAAATTTCAAAACGGACATATCTGATTTTTGCATATTCAGTGCCTTTGACCAAAAACTTGAATATTTGGCCTGCAACTTCACATAGCATTCATGGTTTTCTAAAAAAAAAAAACGACTACTGCGTTCCTCAAAAGAATGCCAAATTATTAACAAAAAGCCAAGTTATAGATAGATACAGCCTAGTACGAAGCGGCCGCAAAGCAGAAACAAAATGTATTGTTATTCTTGTTTGTGCAGAGCTTCTAAATGAAATGAAAACAGCATCTTTCTCTTTGGATCTGTCGCAAACGCAGCATATAAGGAGAGTAAAATCAATATCTTCATTCTAACCAACAAGAGCCGACCGTTCACTCAAGCAATTACTATTCCGCTGCGATCGATTTTCACCACACAAATGCATTTACACCGGTGTTAGCAAAACAACATACAAAATTCACTCTTCACCTCAACAAAACAAGCACTTTTTATACATTCACATGAGCTTCAGCCTGAAAAATACATACGCTGGGACAGGCTTTCACTTTATTAACCCCGTGGAAAAAGACAGAACAATAAAAGCAAGCGCCGCCATAGTCTCATGCATTATTCAGCTTAAAAGGCACTATACCTGGACACGCATCCTTAAACAACCTTGAAAAACAAAGTCAGACGCCCGGCCACATCTGTTAAAAGTTAATGGGCTAAAGTTAATGCACATCTATTGTCCGTTTATTAGCCGTGCGCCGTTACAATGGCAGTTTCACGCTGTAAGCAGAAGGGGCTTGCGGTTGCGAGTTATTAGGCTAAAACAGGACAGGTATTGATGGCTTGTAATGGAAAGAGTGCTTGACTTGGGCTAACTGCGAGTGGGATTTCTCCGAAGTGCTCAAGTGAAAGAAATAATGGGCTGGGGATGGACATATATGGAGGAGAGGCCCTTCAGTCACTTGGAGTATTAGCAAACATGAGGTCAGGAGGCTTCTCTGTCTCTGAGTGGACTGACCGACTACTGATGTCAGTCACAGTTTTAGCCTTGATGCGAAAGAGGCCGATTTTATGCGAGCTCGAAAAGACTATTTACAGTTGGGCTCATATCTGGATTTACAATA